ACTTCCACCGATTCCACACGGGGCCAGCAGCATCTCCCGCCTGGACTACAGTGGTTGCTTTCTCACTGGGTTCCCTGCTTCATCTCTGGCCCCCTACAATCTGTTCCCCACCCAGAGTCGGAGGGACTCTCTCCTCACATGGTCCCTACGGCCCGGCATGATCTGGTCCCGGGGTGCATCAGGTGCCCCACCTTCCACACTCTCTCCTTGGTTCACTTGGTTGTAGGCAGCCGGGTCTCCCTTGCCCTTCGTGAAGTTCCCAACCCCAGGGCCTTTGCACTGGCTGTTCTGGCCACCTGGAAAGTTTCCCTGTGATACCCACATGGCTGCCCCCCCCCATTTTATTCCTGTCTCTGCTCAAATGTCAGCTACCAGGAGAGGACTCAGTATTTTGGCTTAGTTCTTAGGTGGCTGAATGGGGCTGGGGACAAACCGAAGCGTTGTTTCAAAGGGACAGTGGACAGGACTTGGGTTGGAATCTCGAATCTGAGCAAGTCTGGGCAAATCATTCCCCTTCCCTGTGCTTTAGATTCCTCAGCTGTAAAAAAGGGGGTCACAATATCCAGACACAAGGACTTGGAACAGAGACAACTTTGTACAGATGAAACAAGTATTAATTTTTTAAATGGCATTATTGCTATTAAAGGAAAGGGAGGAATCCATGTTGCCCGGTTTCTGGCCTGGGGGGCTCATGTGAGTGTCGTTTGAGAGTTTGGGTCACGGGACTTTCGATCATCACTCAACATTACTTCCACCCCACCCCCAGACCCTGCGAACATGTAGAAAAGGTGAGGCACAGAGGTGTGAAGTCATCCTCAGCTGTCTTGTGTTTGTGCTCCCGCCTCATTCTTGGAAGGCTGGGCTCTCCAAGGGGAATGGAGAAAATCCTGGTTGGACCCAGGACTCTCAGCAAGTCTGTGTGGCCTCGGGTAAACCTCTTGCACTCTCTGGGCCACCATCTCGACAGCTGGCAAATGAACACAGCAAAAAAATGTCAACTTTTCACAGTGGTTTACGCTCACTCAGACCTTAGAAAGCTCTTAGTATTTTAAAAACGATTTTCCTGAGTCTGAGAGCAATGCATGGTTGTGTGGGGGCAGGGATCAGAGCCTAAATAGAAGCCACGGCAGGGGTTTTCACCAGGAAGGGGGTTAATACGGGGATGGGGGGCTGACGACAGCCCGGCGGGCTGGAGCGGCGGGCTCCGGGCCGGGCCCTCAGGAGCGACCCCCAGGACGACGGCACAGAACCCTCGGAGGGCGCCGCCGGGACCGCTGAGTGCAAGAACGCCCGGCCCCGGCAGTGACCCTGGGGTGTCTTCTGCAGCACCCCCCCCCCGTCCCTGGAGGGGTCCGCCTGCCGGAACCTGCTCCGCGGCCAGAGTCCGGCTGCGGGGGCGCCGCCTCCAGCCTCCGCCGCCAGAGGTGAGGGGGGTCAGCCGGGCCCACCCGGGGTCCCCCTGCCGTGAGCAACACGGGCGGAAACGGAGAAGGTGCAGAAACGCGATGGAAGGAGGAAGAATCTACGGCGCTCCGCCTTCCCGGGCGCCGCCGCCGGCGCCTTTCTCTGCGCATGCGTTTCCAGGCTTGTACGCACTGGTCAAGGTCGTGTGGCGCCCTTGGCCGGTTGAACAGTTCTCCGAGGCAGATCCTGAGGGTTTCCCCAGCTCACTACACCTTCGTCCGAAAGCGGACTCTTTACAAATGGCGGTGAAAGGGCCCAAGTGGAGACGCCCCACTTGTAAATACCCGCGTCCTGCTCTTGCGTCTTTGGACTGCTTCGGTCTCTGTTCTTAATTTCAAGTAGCGCGACAGCGGCCACCTTTGTATGCATCGAGGGGTCTCCGTCCGCTTCTGAATTCCCGTTTTTGAAAAAGGCTTTCTCCATTATGGAAAATCGGAGAAGCTGGAAATAGTAAGAAGGGAAAAGAATCCCCCGGAATTCCCCGCACCCGCGAGACTCTGGGCGCCGGTGTGTTCGATGAGCGCCGCGCGGACGGCGGCGGGTCCTGTCTGCTTCTGTCCACAAAGCATCTGCACATGAACACGGCCCGGTTACTACCCGCGCGCCTGTCTCCTCGGGGCCTGCCCGGGGCCATGACCGGCTTCCTTCCATTCTGGTCTGGTGTCCCCCCGCCCCCACCCGCCCTGCATGATGCCTCTCCCCAAACTTCCGGCCGTTCCTTAGGGCAAGTTCCCAAGAGTGCAATTAGTTGGGCAAAAGGTAAGAGCATTTGTGAGGAGTGTTTGGCATGGACTGCAAGTTTCCACTTAATTTTTTTTTTTTTTTCCTAACATTGTTATAAGAGCAAACACTCACGGAGCGCTTACTCTGTGCTAACTTTCCCGGGGCAGACTCAATCCTGGTTCTAAGGCACCATGAGGTATCATTATGTCCATTTTGCAGATGGGGACTCTGAGGTACAGAGAGGTTGAGTCACCTTCACCAAGGTCACACGGCTAGTGTCACACAGCCCCCTTTGAAGCCAGGAAGCCGGCTCCCACATCCAAGCTCTTGATGGTTCTTCCATTTTTTGGTGTCGATGGTCAGAGGCAGATCCAGATTTTGTGGTACCTGGAGCTTTTACCATTTGAGGGACCCCCGTTCAGGGAAGATGTTGCAGACTGAAAAGGAGGTGCAGGGCCTTGGAAGGAACCGTGCAAATCAATGGCCCTGACACTTGAGCTCCAGCTCCAGCAGCATCACGCTCAGCTCCCCCCCTCCCCCGTTCTACCATTCACATGTCACTGTATTTGTTTTATGAGGCATCCAGGCCTCTGTCCACTTAACCCACCCTATTGTTCTATGCATTTCAAAGGAAGTTGCAGACATCAGCGCAGCCCTCAGCTTGCAAATCGTTTGGAGCTCAGGAGTTCAGCATTTTTTTTTTTTAAAATTTTTTTTATTTATTTATTTGAGAGAGAGAAACAGCATGAGGGGAGAGGGCCAGAGGGAGAAGCAGGCTCCCCGCTGAGCCGGGAGCCCGATGCGGGACTCGATCCCAGGACTCCGGGATCATGACCTGAGCCGAAGGCAGTCGCTTAACCAACTGAGCCACCCAGGCGCCCCGCATTTTTTTTCTCTTTGGTTGTAAACTTCAGATGTGAAGTGTAATTTATGTGCAGAAAACCGCCCCGATGTGCCTTTGCCCCAGACCCGTGTTCCGCACGCAGGGGTACAGACGCATTTCCTTAGTCGAGGACACGGCGCAGGCTTCCGCAGGGCTCCGCCTCATGTCCAGGCTGCGGGGCGACCCTGGAAGAGCTGTGAGCAGCCCACCCCAGGGACCCTGGTATTTGACGCATGCGCTGATGGCCTGCTCCGGGCGTTGAGTTTCGTCCCCAGAATCGGTTTCTGGGATTTTGGGGTCAGAGGCTGAGGCTTCAGGCTCCTTCTGCACAGCATGGCTCTCATTCCCACCTCAGCTGACCATACCCCAGCCCCTCCTCACCCATACACACAAAGAGCCATTCTCCTGTCTGCACAACACTTCTTTTTATTTTTATGGGGGGGGGGCGGCAAGAGCAGGAACAGTTCCTCAAAGCCCTGATATTTTATGGGATGTGGAAGTGGGGGGGGGGCCCTGACATTAGTCTCTCCCTTCATCCACTTCTTTTATAAACTGCTTGCTCTATTTTTATAAACATCGTGTCCTGGAGAAACCTTTCCAAAGGCCATGATAAAAAAGAAGGCAAGGCTAACAACACGACAAACATGGTCTTCTTCCGTCTGACAGAGGACACCTGGCACAAAGTAAAAAGGCAACAGCCTGGGAGAAACGTCTGGAACGTGCAGGACAGACTTCAAGAGCCGTTAACCGATGAAGAGCTACTCCAAGTCACCAAAATGACAGTCTAGGAGGAAAATGGTGCAGAGGTTTGGAGCAGCACGGAAGTGCTGGTGATGGTATGCACACATCTACTCAGCCCCACTGACCACCAGAGTAAAATGAAAACTGTGAGATCATACAGTAGGCAAGCTAGGAGCAAACAAGCAGGCTCTGATGTCGCTGGAGGGTAAAAACCAGCACATCCTACATGGAGGAGGATTTGACTGAACCTATCAAATGACCCTTTACATTTATCTTCCCTTACAGCCCAGAGATTCACTTCCAGGTCCCTGTCCTACAGATACATGTGGAATGGCCCACGTATGATGTTCCTGCCACGTCATGAGATGGAGCAACGGGAGCCAGTCACGGCGCAGCACACTCATTCACTGAAATTCAGGGTATGCAGCTTTAAAAAGTAAGAGAAGCACCCTGTACAGGCACAGAAACTTCTCTAAGACACACTAAAAAGCAACCTATAGAAGTACATGTAGTAGGACTGTAGCCAAGACATAGAAAAATTAAAACTATTCTATTTTCGTATGTACTTTTGTGTATAATTTAATAGAACCACACATGGAACATACCGGAATCATTCACATTGAACTGCAGTGACAGTTACTTTTGCAGAGAAGGGAATGGGTTTGACTGGAAAACAAAGGCTCGGGGCAGTAATTACGGTGCTTTGGTATCTTTATGTAAATCAGCGATTTACAATGAGAATACAGTCCTTTATTACTTGTAGAAAAAAGGTTTTTAAAAAAATCCTTTTTAAAGTGGTATGGGGAGGAGGAATTAGTTCCTTCTGATGCGCTTCAGGTCCCTCACCTTTATGGCCCCCTCTTGGGAGTGAGTCCATCTGCTTAAAAGTACAGTAGGGTGCTCGGCCAACGTCAGCAACACCCATGCGACAGGGTTATACCCAAGACCTGCCTCTCAGTCACCCGGGCAGAAATGTGGGCTGTGTCCTGTCAGACACCCAGTTGGGATCTCCACTCCTCCTCCCCCCGGCCCCCCACCAGCCTGCAAGCCCCACCTCCTCTGCCTACTTTCCCTAAGATCTTGCCACACCAGGCTTTAGTGGAGACGAATGTTCTGGTGCTAGAGAGAGACACAGAGAGAGAGGGAAGCTGCCCCCAGAAGGGAGCCAAGTCACACGGGGGCCCAAGGTGTCAGCGGTGTTTTACTGTGGGGTGGGGGCTCCGGCATCCCCCGGCGGCCATAACCTGGGGGCAGAGGAGAGGGGACTGAGGGTGCGTGAGGGGAAGGGCCCCACAGCCTCACCCCCTCGACATCCCCAACTCTGGCTCGGGCCCTTCCATTTCCCTTTGGGGACCCTCCCCCGCCCTGACTCTGGGTTCAAGGGCATCCAGCAGGCTGCCCCTCCCGGGTCTGGCCAGGGGATCCCACCGGGAAGGAGGGAAGGACAAGGGCTCCTTCTTCTCAAGCAGCTTGGAGGGGTTTCTGTCACAGCCAGGAGCCCAGTCGGCCTGGCAGGGAAGGGGAATGCCACTCACTGGATCTCACGGAACGCCCGCTTCTCCACGAGCTTCACTTTGTACTTGCGCTTAAACCTGTAGGAGGAAAGGGAGCGGTCAGGGGCCAGCAAGCCCACCAAGCACAGGCGTGAAGTTTCCCGGAGCCCTCGCTCCCCACACAGCCCTGGGGACCCTCACTTGGCTCTCTCCCGAGGCTCGATCATGTTTCTCTTCTGGAAGCTCTTGAAACGGTCGCGGAGAATGTTGCCTTCAGGCTGCGGGACACAGAGAGGGAGGCCTCAGTTGGCGGGGGGGGGGGGTGGGGGGGGTGGGCTCGGGCTCTGACCTCTCCACGGGGCCCAGGCTGGCCCTGAGCTGATGGGGTGATGTGTATGGACCCCTGGGCCGCCTGGGCTAGGTTTGCAGAATCAATAGGATGGAGGCTGCTGAAGAAGCGGAGAGAGCATGTAGGGAGGGGGGCAGCAAAGGCCGGGGGATCAGACCAACAGGGCGCACGGCTGGCCCGCTAATGAAATAGAGTTGGTTGGAGCCCCAAGGCAGGCACAGGGCCCACGGCCGCAGCGAGGAGCCCGGGGCCACTGGGAGCCACGGCAGGTTCTGAGCGGGGGTGGGACAGGGCCCATGCTGAGCTGTAGGGAGACCTGTCCAGCACCGCAGGGCCAGGACACCAGCTTCGGGACGTGGCTGGGAGGAAAGCGTCTGCAGGTCACAGGCTCAAATCATCCTACCAGCGGGCCCCTCACCCCTGAGGACCCCGTGCCCTCAGCCCCCAGGCATCAGCCCAACCGGCCCAACCTGGGGCAGCCATGATGTCGCCCACAGCCCCTGGGGGCACGGGGAGCAAGGATGGGTATCATCACTGGGCACGGGAGTCTCCCCTACAGCACAACACCCCAGATGGGCAAGTACCTTTAGGGTCCTGAGAGAGTCAGACAACTCTGAGCTGAGCTGCACATCGATGTCGGGGGCCTGGTACCTAGAGAACACGGGCGCGGGGGGTTCAGGGGGTCGGCCTTGCCCGGGGCAGAGTTCAAAGGCCCCACCCGGGCAGCAGGCCTTCCAGAACATGGTGCTCTGTGGAAAAGAGATGATCTTCCAGGAGGAGACCACGCAGGGAACCGGGACCCCTACCCCCACCGGGAGCCCCCCCCGCCCCGGGCCTCACTTGAGCCGCCCCAGCCTCCGGGGCCTGTCCGCCTCCGCCAGCCGCTGCGCCCGCCGCTGCTCCCGCCGCCGCGCCAGCTCCGCCAGCCGCCGCGCCACCTGGGCCTTGATCCCGCGTAGCCTGAAGAGCTCCTGGTGCCGGAGCCGCGCGGCCCGCACCTCGGCCTGCTGCACCCGCTACAGCAGGGCCGGGCGGAGTCAGGGGCCGGGCAGAGCGCCGACCCCGTCCACAGAGGCCCCTCCAGCGCCCCCTCCCCCGACTTCTTCACAGCAGTTTCCTGAAACCAGCGTCCTTATCCACTGGTGGCCTGCAAATCCCACTCTCCAAATATAAGGACCAGGGCACGGAGACTGGGTCTAGAACACTCCCTGCTGCATCATCCTGAGCCCAAGTGCTGCCAGAGCAGCAAGGGCAGGCAGCAGCCTGCGGTGCTCACCATCTTCCGGGCCGCCTTCTCCCGCCGCCGCTGCTGCTCCGTCTTCTTCTCCACGGCGGCCAGGCGGACGGGTGCGGAGGACGCCTCCGCGCCTGCGGCCTGCTCCCCTCCGGCCTCAGCCTCGGGGCCCTTGTCCGGGCCCTCGCCCGGCTCCCCCTCCCCGTCGGACTCCTCCAGCAGCCCCTGGCACAGCTCCTGGAAGGCAGACTCCTGGGGCGGGAGGCAGGAAGCGGTGAGTCGGGCGCCGGGCGCCGGGCAGGGAGGGGCGGGGAGGGGCGGGCAGGTGTGAGCTCACCTGGGTGGCAGGCTGCTCCGAGGGGGGCAGGGCCAGCTGCCGCTCCAGCTTCTCCGCCTCCTTCTGCCGCTGCAGCTCGACTTCGTGGGCCGCCAGCAGCAAGGTCTAGGTGGGGAAGGTGGTCGGGTGTGAGGTCCCAGGCCCCCCAGGCCTCTCCTGGGACTTACAGACCTGGCCCCACCCCTGCACCCGAGGCCCCTCTCCACTCCCTGCGCAGCCAGGGGGTGCCCTCTACTCCCGAACTTCCTGTCTGCTCTGTCATTTCTCTTAGAGGACCGCCTGATCCCTGATCTCTGCACACAGTACGGTTTTGTTCACCCGAGACACAGAACAGACAAATCTGTAAAGACAGGAACGACGGTGGGGGCTGCCTAGGGAAGATGGGGCATGGGGGGTGGTGATGGCCGATGGGTGCCACATTTCTTTCTGGGGGGATGAAAACATTCTAACATACTGGCGAGGGCCACACAACTCTGCGGATACGCTAAAAACCATTAAATTGTGTGCAGTAAGCGGGCGAACCCTCAGGCGTGGGAGTTCTATCTCTGTAATACAGTTCTGTGAAGAACAAAAGACTCGGACTGATCTTTCCACGTTGTCCCCTAGCAGCCACATCAGTCCACGGGGGAACGGACTACGGTTCGTGGCCTCCTCTGCCTGTGACCAGCCTCATCCTGCTCCCATTTGGGGTCATGGGGTCTGTTTCTGCGGACACCTTTTATCAGGAGCAGAAAACCGCTCACTCCGCTCCTGGTCGGCCAAGAGGCCCTCTTATCACGAACGAGGCTGAACAGCACTCGCTCGAGCGTCCTGCGTCTGAACGATCTCAATCTCTCTCTGGGGACCTGTGCTCCCCAGGGGCAAAGGGTCTGTCTCCTCCGTTCATGACATCCATCGCCAAAATACACAGTGACTCTCACAGCCAGGTGTCCCACTGCTGACCTAGCCCAGGCCTGAGATAAATCTCACCCGCTCAGACTGCTAATGTTTCTTTGAAGCCTTTTGCATCTAAGTCCCGTGGACTCCCCGAAAGGTGGCGTGGCCTCATACACCCCTGGGCCTTCGTACACGCTGTTCCTTGCACAAGCCTGAAAACACCCATTCCCCTCTTCCCACAGCAAGCTCCTCCTCACACCTCTGGTCTAAACTCTGATACTCCCTTCCTCCAGGAAGCCCTCCCTGACCCTCAAGGCTGGGTTTGGCGACTCCTCTGGGTTCCCTCATCCCAGGCCTCTGGGTCATCACTGTCTGAGAAGAGGTCTGTCTCCCCCGCTGGACCGTGAGCCCCAGGAGGGCAAGTGGGGGGCTGCCTCAGTTGCTGCTGACTCCTCAGCAGCGGGTGGATACAGAGGAGGTGCCTGGTGAGGCCAAGCCAACCAAGCAGCCAGGCCCCAACTGAGGAGAGACCGTGTACCTGGTGGTCCTCAAAGGATGGGTTGTAGGAGGCTCCAGCCGGTGTCACCTCCACGGCAGGGACCTGGGAGGGCTTGGTGTGCAGATGTGGCGGCCGCTGGAGGACAAGGAAGCATGAAGCCTGGCAGCCCCACGACTCAAGACCTCACAAGCTCGGCTGCTGGGACTCCAGGCTTGGTAGGCGGCAGAGGCCTCGGCAGGGCCCACAGCCTTCAAACTGGGAGGTGCCTGTGGGTCTGGCATCTAGATCAATGGACACCTGCTACCCAGCTGCTGTGCTACCCACGGGAGCCACATCCCCAGGAGAAGCAAGCTCCCTGCAGGGAGAAGCCCTGCCTGCCTTTCCTGAGAAAAGTCCCCGTGACCCTGCGGCGGGCAACGCTGGAGAAAACGGGGGTACACGGCACCTTGATTTCAGTCCCCAGTCTGTCACCCTGACACCTGCAGCAGGCTTGGGAGAGGGTGGGGGTGTTCTCTGTCATTCAGAGCAGGGGACAGCGGACAGAGGACTGGCAAAGACTCCTAGTGTGGCCCCGGACCCTGCCAGGAGCTGGTGACAAATGCAGAAACCCAGCTCCACAAGGAATGAATCTGAATCCGATCAGGACCTGCACCTCAACAAGACTGAGGCAGGGGCTGGGGGGGGGGGTGGTGGCTTCCCAACTGGCCTCCGCCCCAGCAAAGGCCCTCAGTCCTCAGCAGAAGCCTGGGGGTAACCCTGGAAGCCCCCTGCCCCCACCTGCTCCCCACACCTGACTGCCCGCCAGTCCCAGTGCTTCTGCCCAAGGGCGCCGTCTTGGGTCCCCCGCAACCCCCACGATCCCGCCTCCACAGAACTGCCACCCGGACCCCATCACTCTCCTATGCAAAAGCACTCAAAGGAACACTTCACACCCTGAGCGGCGCTCCCTCCCACCAGGCCAGCGTCCTCCGGGCCTCCTACTCAGCCCTGCCCCTGCGCCCTAGAGTTCCCTGCCTGGGGGCCCTTCCCTCCCGTCCAGGCCCAGGCCCAGCAGTGCCCTGGGTGGACCTGTCCGTCCAGGCCTCTTCCCAGTGAAGCTTTGCTCGCCCCCTGAAGCACCTCCCGCTGACTGCCACCACCCGGCTCTCTCCTCTGGAGGCACCAGCTCGAGGCCCAGCTCCTGCATGTGCGGTCTTGGCCGCAGGCTGAGACCAAGGCTCCGGGCCCCAGTGTAGCCCCCACCACCCCAGCCCTCCTACGACCCATCGCCAAGGGCGCCCTGCTGCCACAGTCTCACCTTCACCCCCCGCTTCTTGGTCTGCTCCAGGAAAAAGGTGTCCTGGCCGGCCAGGGGTCGCTCCAGAGGGTCTGTGGAGGCAGTGAAGGGTGGCTGCCGGGGGCCTGCCAGTGTGGCCTGAAGGGCTCCCTCCCATCCCTCCCCTGCAAAAAGACACCACCAAAACATGGATAAGGGAAGGACTCACTCTCAGACCCCAATGGGTTTTGAATGCCCGGCAAAAGAGCATATGGACAGGTCCAGAAAGCAGAAGGAAGCCAAGGCTAAGGGGCAGGGGGCGGCCCTCAGGAAAATGCACTTGGGAAAGGGGAGCCCCTCCAAGACGCTGAATTCTGGTGAGGATCATCGAATCAACCCCCGCAGAGCACCTCCCTTAGACACTGTGCTCTTGTGCAGCGCGCAACCTGTGCAACCGTGCGTGGCAGCCTTGTCCCCACCCACAAGTAACAACAGGGGCACTCACTGTCTTTGGCCCAGAGATCATAAAAAGGCCTCTTGATGGTGTCTTGGGGTCCGGGCTTGGCTTTGGTCGCGGGAGGGTTGAGGAGCCGGGCCTGTGCCCTGCGCACCTCCCGGGGCAGCTCGCCCTGCTTGGCCAGCTTCTCCCATAGCTGCTCCTTCCGTTTGAGTTTCCTGGCATTGGGGACCTGGTGGGCAAGGATGCTGGGTGGAGGAGAAGCAGCACAGGTGGAGTGAAGCAGAGGCCTGAGAAAGGGCCCAGCTCCTCCCAGTCGGGCTCTGCACCCCCACTACTCAGCAGCTCCTCCTGCCTGACTTTACTCCTCTGTGCTTCCAAAATGAAACCTTAATGCCTCCTACCCAGCTTCAGAGCCCATCTCCTGACCCGAGAGCCAACAACACGGTGGCCTCGGCAGCCCTCACCCTGCGGATCTCCCAGGAACCTCACACATCACTTCAAAACCAACCTCAGGTTCGCCCCCACAGCCGTTCCTCCCATATCCCCATCTCAGGAGCCGCCCTCTGTCCACCCCATCACCCATCCAACCTCCCCTCCTTCAGAGCTGTCACTCAGCCAGCCTGATGGGCCTCCTGATGGCTCCCACCCATCCCTCCTCTCCACCCCCAGAGCTCCCGGCTGGGCCGAGGCCCCGTACTTGCCTGCTTCAGCCACAACACCCCGGCCCCCACCTCATTTCCTCCCATCTACCCCCCAAAGCCCCAATCTGACCGCATCCCTCTCCTCCAAGTGATGCTTACGTGACCCCCTCCCTCCCTAGGAACTCCCTTAGGGCCAGAAGTGAGTGGCACTGCTGCACAGAAGGGCACGATGCCAGAGTCCAGCAGGGAAGATGGGTCTGGGGGTGGGGGGACACTCACTCTTTGGGGGCAGGGACCTTGGATGTGTTCTCTAGGATGAGGTCAACACGAAGGGGTTTCTTGAGAAGAAGTGACCTTTTCTGGCTTTTGATCCTCTTCTTGTTTAGCTCTGGGGTTGGGAGAAAGGCGCGCAATCAAGGGCTCTGGCCTCCTTGCTTCCCAAGACCAACCCCCCACCCCCTGCATTTCAGCTCCACAGCAGCCATCAGACCCGCATCCTGGTGCAGACACGGAGGCCCCAGGCTTCCACCTGGGGAAAGAGGTGCCCAAGGTGTCCAAGCTCTGCCCTGCCCCCCAACACACCCGTTTCCTGGGCCACCTGGAGGCAGCCCTGTGCTGGGAACAAAGACAGCGTCAGACCCACAGCCCTGCCCTCTAAGGACTCCCGGACGAGGCAGGAAAACCAGGAATGCTAACGAGCAAGAAGGCGACCAAGTGACACTGAGGCCCAGGGAGCTGGACTCAGGACCGATCCAAAATGGCTGATTCTCAGCATGCTCAACAGTTTTCCACCTTCTTTCACCTGATAGCAAAAAGCAAACTCCAGGACCAACCACACTAGGACAGCACCCACGTCCTTTCATTTCCTAGGCTACATCATAGAAGACTTTACTCCTCTGTCCTTCCAAAATGAAAACCTTAATGCCTAACTCACGGGGTTGTCTGGAAAGGTAATGACTACAACAGCATGAGGCACCGTGATCACCTGGGAAAGCCCACAATCACTATTATCTTTCTTTTTCTTTTCTTCTGTGTCCCCAGGACCTGAAACTGAGAGCCACGAGTCGGTCAGTCACGTGCCACTGGAGCTGCTGTCCCAGCAGAACCGAGCCCGTAAGCCACAGCCAGACCAAAAGGCTACGAACAGTGCCTGTATTTTTCCTTTTTAAGCCAAAAGCAGAATCTATAAACTGCCTCTCCTCTGTTCCCAAACAGACTTCATACTGGCCAAAGCAGGCCTTTGTGACTACCCTACCCGTTCACTAGGGCAGGTCCTGCCTTCCCCTTGCTGTTACACGCCAGATCGGCTCACTCCTGTGAAAGGTGACCTCTTCAATAATCATCTCTCACTCACTTGCCCAAAGTCTCCGGCACCTCGAAGCAGGTCCCTTTCCCGTTCACTGAAACAGGGCCTCTCACGTTCCAGACCCCTGGATTGAACCCACACATGCTCCCTAAGGGCATCCTGCTGTTAAAGCCCCTTGCCATTTGCTCATTAAAGCAGACCCTTAGCTTGTTTTCTATCCCCTCATTAAAGCGATGGTCTATTTTTGGTCTGTTTTTCTACCTACTGATGGAAAGCCTATCATTCGCTCAAGCCATCCCTAACTCCCCTCTCCTGTACTCTGTTTCAGCAGCACCCCACCCCCACCCCCGGCTTTTTGGCAAATAAAAGCAAGCAGACTAAGACGGGCTTCTTACCTACTTACCTATTACCTACTCGTTAAAGCAGATCCTCTCATTTGTATTCAAGCACATCTTACTAAAATAGGTCTCATCCCTTACAGCTTTTCTGCAAGTTAAGAAGAGGCCTGCTAATTTACATCTAATCTACTCAGAGGCAAGACCCCCGCTGGCTTCTGTGTGCCAGATGGAGACTTGGGAATTGCCAGATTGAAGACTGAGAGCCCGGAAACCTCAAAAAGAAAATCTGACTTGTTAAGTCTTTCATTCCAAGCCCTCTTGTTTATAGTAAAGACCTTTCCTAGCGTATGTCTGCCATCCAAGCCATGTCAATAATAAAGACTGTCTCGGAGACGGAGATGGACTAAATAAGGACCAAGCAGGCACCACCGAAAGCTCTTCCTCACCTTTTTTCTTGGAGCCGGTGTCCACGAAGAAGAGTTTCTCATCTGGGGCCTCTGATACCAAGCCACTGGGAGACAGGAATGCAGAATGTCAGCCAGAGACGTTGGGGAGGGTGCAAGCCGCTGGGGAGGGAGGTTTAACCTCTCAGGGGCCAGGCTCTCCTCTAGCACTACGCTCATTCAAGCACCTTCTTCCCGCCATGGGATCCCTCCACGCTAAAGCTTCTCCCTTCAAATCACAGAACTTAGTACTTAACAGATCATAAAGCTTAAAATGCCGTAATATTTAATTCTCAGCGCTACGCTAAGGTGGGTGCACGGGGCATACTTACACTACAATTATTACTTACTTCCCCGAATTCTAATTTAACACTGGGTGTTCTGTATCGAGGGACCCAACCAAGACCCCAAACCTCACCCCAGAGTCCAGTGGTGGCCGAAACACACACGCGCAGCCCCCCCCGGAAGTCCCCCCAAGCACGCTCGGCCTCGCACCCCGCCACTCCGACTGCGGCCCGGCTCCCGGAAGTCCCGCCCCACGCACCCGCTCGTGCGCTCCTGCAGCCGCACGTCCTCCAGGAACTGGTCAACTTCTAGCCCCAGCGGCTCCTGTGCGAGCCGCCGCCAGCCTCGTTTCTTATTTCTTGGGCCTCGCCGCCGCCGCCTCAGCGCCGGGTCCACCGAAGTGGGCCGCAGTCCCAGGAAGCCGGAATCGGCCTCGCTTTTCGAGCAATGCGTTCCGCCGCCGCCACTACCTCCCGGCGCCATCTTGGCAAAGGAAGCGTTCGGTCGCCGGCGCCCCGAAAGTCGGCAGATCTCCCGCCCCCTCCCGTGACATCCTTCCGGTTACCGCCATCTTGGTAAAGTGTCTGGAACCGCCAAGGGGCGGGGGTAAAGGGTAAATGTCTCCTCCCTCTTATGCAAATTCCCGTCGGCCGCGGGTCGTGGGTTCGCGGCTTCGCGGCTCTAGCCCTGAGCAAACACCTTTACTGCGGCCCAGGAATATTTTAAAAATCTGCGTATGTTTTTAATGTGTAACTTATTATTATTTTTAGTCCAACTGTCTTAAAAAAGACAATCAGAACCGTCGGTGGCAGATTCGGCAGAAGACACGCTCCAATCTGAGAACGTTCGGCTTCTCAGTGTTCCGATCCTAGAATCTTGGAAATCCAAGAGATTTCCGAATGTCCAGTTGGGAGCACAGAACCTCATATTTGCGAGGCGTGTTAGAAACATACAGTGTTGGCAGTGTAGGATCGGAATCAATCCTGGGCAAGCTGCTTGGCTGTGCCTCACTTTTCTCATCTGTGAAATAGGGACGATTGTGGTACATCAACCTTATAAATTATTCAGGAGAGGAAACGAGATAAACGCACGATGTTTAAGATTGTGCGTGGAGGATGCCTGAGTGGCTCAGTAGGTTAAGCGTCTGCCTTGGGCAGGGGTCATGATCTCGGGGTCCTGGGATCAAGCCCCCAGTCGGGCTCTCTGCTCAGCGGGGAATCTGCTTCTCCCTCTCCCTCTGTGCTTTCTCTCGCTCTGAAATAAATATAAATAAATCAATCTTAAAAAAAAAAAAAAAAGATTGTGCCTGGTATCTCAGTGTTAGCTATTGTTACTGGCTCGCCCCCTGAGGTTTCATCTTAGAATCAACGAATCTTTGCTGTTTACAAATAAGGAAGGAAGCTCGGAGGCTCTTGGGCGCTGGCAACCATTCATAGGGATCCAGGGCTGCCTACAGGCCGCTCTGGACGCGAAAGGGAAGAAGGCACAGAGAGGGAGGGCGCCACGCCGGTGGTCGCACAACGGAACCCGGGGGGATCCTCGCGACCCGCCCTGGAGCCCCGAGCGCGGACCGCCTGGCTCGGGGGTTTCAGCGCGCAGCCCGCGCGGCTCCCGAGTGCCCGCCAGGGGGCGCTGGGAGCCGCGAAAGCGGGAGAGCGCGCGTGGGCGGGAAGAGCGAGCGGTCAGCGTGTCCCGGCCGCGGTGGGTGTGGCCGGGGGGCTCGGCCCGCGGTGTCCGCAGGCCGAGGCCCCCGGGCGTGAGCGCGCGCGCGTGCGCACACATGCTGGTCCCTGTGGGCAGCGTCACCTCTCCTCCAGGAGCCCGTTTGTCCCTGGTGTTACGCGTCAGGGGTGGCGTCCCAGGTGGCGCACGCTGGCGGGCGGGGCGGAGGCACGATGTGCCCGAGCTCGCGCGCACACAACCCCACGCCCCAGGGCCTGGTTCCCAGGCCCCCGCGGCGGGAGGTGGGAGGGAGGGATGTCCCGGAGGGAGGGCCCCTGAGTAACTTTTCTTCGGAAAATATGTCGGTCTGGCCCCCAGCCCAGGCCTGAGTCATCAGGCTCTGCTGCATTGAGTCATGGCCTCCACCCCCCGCCCCTGGGACCTTGGAGGGGACCCCCCCCAACCTCAAGCTCTGCCCAGGGCTCTTTTTCCCCCGGAGTCCGGGGAGAGCCATCCCCGCCCCCCCAACCCATCCCAAGACGGCCTGACTTCCACGTGGCTAGAAGCCTTGGCTTTATTTGCTCTGTGGGAACGTTCGCTGTTCGGTTCACAGGCCCCTCCTAGGCACGGGGGTGGGGGGGTGATGGTGGGTGTGGAAATCCCCGCGAGCATCGTGGGGGGGCGTCGTCCCCACCTATGTCACCCTTCCCCATCTTTTCCATGGGGTCCCCCACCAGGGTCAAGCACTAATACGTGGTGAAGGCACGGAAGGGTGGAGGGCGGGACGTGAGGGGTCCCTTTAGGGAGGAGAAGGGAGAGCTGTAGCACCAAGAGCCCCTCCCCCCCCCCACGCATCCCTGAAAGGGGGACTAAAATAAAGCCCTGGCGCCTTTATATCTGGTGGGCGCTCTACTTAAATATGGGCTGATGGCAGAGAGGCTGTGCTCCCGCGGTCTACAATTCAGGCCACCAGCAGTGGGGAGCCTGGGGCGGGGGCAGCCAGGCTGGGTTTTCAAACCAGGGCCCTGTAGGCCGAGGCCAAAAATACCTCAAAGTGGGCAGAGTCGAAGGGGCTTTTCTGTCTGCTAAGAATTCTTAGTACAGAAAGGGGTGTAACCAGAACTGGGCGGAGGGGCTGAAGAGGGGTCCCTCCGACGAAGTAGGAGGTTGTGTCTCCCCTCTGAGCCCCCAGTGGTCCCAAGGCCTGAGAACAGGATGGAGTTTGGGGGGAGGGGCGGTCCTTGTCTGGATGGGCAAGAAGTGGGGAAGGGGGCCTTTGTGTTTGTTATTTCAAACAAGGGGCCACTGGACTATGGGGAGAGGCGAGGGGTCCTGCCCAGAATTGGGGATCGGGCTGGTTAGGGCCTGTGTCTGTGTGTGTTTGTGTGACTGCGTGGGTATCAGCCCCCTGAGGGCAGATACACGTGTCTGTTTTGCTCTCTGGGGTACTCCCCAGTGCCCAGAACAAGCCCTGCACATCCAAACATAGTACGTGCTCAATAAATACTTGAATGAACGATGACTGAATCGATGGCTCTGTGCGTGTGTGTGTTAATGTCAACGGGATGTGCCTAAGTGTACGTGAGGGTAGAGATGCAAGGCCAGGCAGAGAAGCCTTGCCCCTCCCCTGGTCCCCACTGTCTGGCAGAGGGGAGTAGAGAGACCCCCATCCTTACAGCTGAGAAGGTGGGCAGGCAGCGTGCGTGCAGGCTGGGGCGGGGGTGTGCGTGCAGCCAGCTGGTGCTGGGGAGCCACAGCAGGGCAAGAGGGAGGGAGGGCCGGCAGGCAGTGGCTGGCTCACTCTGCAGAGCCCTTGTGGCGCCGCTTGGAGGGCGGCACCAGGCGGCGGGGCAGGTTGGTGGGCAGCCCGTGGCCCTCGAGCTTGGCCTCGATGAGGTGGCTGGCCAGGGCGAACTCCTCGTCATCCAGCATGCCGTCCCGGTCGACGTCACTCAGCTTCCAGATGCGCCCCAGCACCGAGTTGGGGAGCTTGGTGCCCACCATCCAGGTCTTGGCCTTGGTGCCGCTCAGCTTGCCATCGGCGGGCGACAGGTTGTAGAAGATCTCGTCGTACTTGGACTTGTCCTTGGTCACCACCCACTCGGCCTCGTCGTCCGAGCCCTCCTCGCCGTCCTCCAGGGCCTCATCGGGCCCCCGCTCCACGAACGGGCCCATGTGGGTGCCCTCGAAAGCGCCGCCCTGCACGCCCACCTCGGTGCTCTCCAGCTCTTCCTGCCGCAGGAGGGGCATGAGCTTGGCGATGTCGTGGGTCAGCATCTCGTCCAGGGCCTCCAGCAGCTTTGGCTTCAGCGAGTGGAATTTGGTGAAGTCGTGAGCCATCAGCAGCTCCTGTTGTGGGGTGAGGGGGAGAGGGGAGCACTGGGAAGTCAGGGGGCACCGTCCTCAGGGCCCCCCAGCCCATGGGGGCAGTGGGACCCTTGGGCAGCTCACTTGGTAGCAGGTCTCGGCTGAGAGGTGCGTACCTGTGCAACCCATTTCACTCGGGCACCCAACACTCGGAAGAGACTAGGACAGCGGGGTGCCAGGGGCCCTCCCCCTGCGCCAGGCGTGCCCCCAGGATCACTGACGGTAGGGATGTACGTGGCCCCGTGAGGACTTAGAGCAGTAGCTGTTTACCAGCCGGCAGAGGATTTCAGTATTCTGACAGTGGCCCCAGCCTTACCCAGCACAGCCCTGGGTCTGCCCAGCCTCTGGGGCACCCCAGCTGCAGCTGGCCGGCACCCCCCCCACCCCGTTGTGCAAATCGAGAAAATTCCATTCCTGCTGCTCCATTAGCTCTGTCACCCCACTTCACAGAAACGGGTGAGTGGCTTGCTGCCAAATTTGGAGGTTAGGTTTGGGATGGCCAGATTATTAGGAGCTCCTGGGACAACCCTCCCCCTGCCCCCCTGCCGCCCTCCCCCCCAGAAGTCATCCTGTGCTAGAGCAGCTGTGGGGCTGGATTTGTGGTCACGCTGCTTCTCCCCTGCGGCCGCTCTGAGTCACCTGCACCAGGAGACTCACAGCAAAGACCGATCTGGTTCATGGAACCACACTGATTTCCAGAGCCGAGGCAGAGAGGCCTGCTGATCTGGATATAAAGGGGTTGGGGGGGAGGAGGTCTGGACTCCAGGGCCAGCCTGCCCAGGTCCCAGCCCAGTTCTGCCACTTAGGAGCTGTGTGCCCTCAAGCAAGTGACTTCACCTCTCTGGGCCTCAATTTCCACACGTGTAAAACGGATCAATAACATTAGCGCTCCCCTCCTGGGGGGATGGGAAAGGCTAATGAAGTCATCTGGATAAAGCGTTCCAGAACTGTCAGTGTAATCTTACCAGCTGCTGTTTATCTAGCCCAGTGGTTCTCAGCCACGGGAGATGTTGTCCTTCCCCAGTGGACACTTGGCAAGATGTAGCCATTTTTGATTGTCACCAGCTGGGGGAGGGGTGTGCTACAGGCACCTAGAGGTCAGGAGGATGCAAACATCCCGCAATGCACAGGACACCCCTGACCACGAACACTCTGACCCCAAATGTCAGTAGCGCTGAGATTGAGAACCTTGACCTAGCCCCAACCCTGTGCCACACACTGATCTTAGGGGGCTGCAAGCACCGGCGGATTCAGCACCCACAGCAATATGTACTATGACAATGCCCATTTCCCAGTTGAAGAAACTGAGGCTCAGGCAAGGTGACTTGTCCAGACTCACAGAGCTAGCAAGTGGCCGAAGGGAAATGCACTCTGCCAGAATTCCTCAGAGTCTTGGGTTAGAAACCATCTCAGACCCAAAGGTCACAGGCTTGGAGTATCAGCCTCATGTAGTCTCAAAACAGAGGCTCAACCCCGGGCTGGGGGGCTAGTCCCCGCCTCCTCCACGCCTGAGCCTGGACCTCTGTCCCCATGTTTATTTGGTCCCTCCTGCCCCGCCCCCCTCCAGTAGCTCCTCATTCACCCCCTGCCACTGCACCCACACCCACTGCTCTCCCCAACACTGGTTAATCCTAGACCTGGACATGCAAGGGGTCCCCCATTCCCATTTGTTCCTTCATCCTCAGCACTGGAATCCCTGAACATTACCTGGACACCTGGACACCTAGAAGGAAGACTATCCAGCTTACAGCCAGCCTTGGCCATGTGGCTGGCTACCTTCTAGCCAATTGGATGTCAGTGTACCTTGCATACACAACTCTAGAATTGTCCTTTCCAATACGGGAGCTACGTGTGGTTATTTAAATTTAAATTAGCTAAAATTAAATAAAATCTAAAACGTCAGTTTTAATGGGGTTAGCAGCTACCATATTGCAAGGCAGAGCACAGAACATTTCCATCATGGTCGAAAGTACTATTGGACAGCACTGTTCTAGAAAATGTCCTTAAAGACAGAGACTGTACAGGTAGCTTTCCCTCCCTTCTCCCTCATCCCTTCTTGCTGGCTGGAATGCAGACACAATGGCTGGAGTTTTGGCAGCCATTCTGTACCATGCGGGGATCTTGGAACTGGAGGCTGGGCATGGAGGAGAACTGAGACACAGGTGGACTTGGTCCCTAGCTCCGTAAAGCACCAAACCAGCCCTGGAGCACCTTCTAGGATTTTATGGAGAAAAACAAACTTCCATCCTAATGAAGCCACGGTTCCTTGGGGTTTTCTCTTCATTCCCTTGTCCTAACGCACAAAACCATGCTCTTATGGAACCATTTGCAGGAGGTGCTTTCCAGAACCTGCCCTCCATCCCTCCCATTTTTGAGGGCCCACCCCAAAGCCCACAGAAGCTGACCCCTTCCGCCTCCCTCCCGGGCGACCTCCCACCTGCATCTTCTGGCAGTCCGGGAAGTCACCAGGAGATATATGATGCTCTAGCTGGATCTTGGCAAAGATGACGGGCAACTTGAGGATCAGCTGCTTCTTCTTGTTCTCCTTCCCAAATACGGAGGGCATCTCCTTCTTCAGGTAGCTGATGATGTACGCGTGAACCTGCAGGAGGAGAGCGCTCACCTGAGCCTGCAGCACCATCACCCGGGGCCCCACACCTACAGCTCCTGATTCGCGTGGCCCAGAGGGGGGCCTGAGAATGTGCATCCCGACCCTTACAGGTGAGTTGCTGCTGCAGCAGCCAGCGGCCGAGGGCAGAAGACCTCCCCCCAATCTACATACCGGCCTGAGCCTGTCTCTGGATCGCCTCGTCCACATTCCTGGACAGCTCGTTTGATGCCCAGCGGAATCTGGGCCCGGCCCCCAGAGCTGTGCCACCCTCCGCTGTGCCCATTGCGGGAACAAAGGGCACTCCCACCTGCTCCCTCCCCAGTTGAGGCCAGACTTCCCGAAACCTTTCCTGATTTGATGCTTCCCGACTCCTCACCAGCCGCATCCAGCCACCAGTGAGCCCTTTGCCCTTTGCCTCCTACATCTGTCCGCTCTGTTTTCACTGCTTTGCATCTCGGGGGGGCCACCACCCCCACCTCCCCACACCTGCCCGGGGAGACACAGCAGGCACCCCACTGGTCTTCTGGCTTCTCTCGCCCCTACAATGCCTTCTCCAGGCAGCGGCTGGAGAGGTCTTTTTGTTTTTTAGGAACAAACACCAGATCATGAGACACTGCTCCAAAGTTTCGATTTGCTTCTTATCCAAGTACAAAATTCCGACCATAGCTGACAAGTCCCTACAGCAGCAATTCTCAAAGTGTGGTCTGGGGAACCCCAGGGATTTCCCCCCACCCACCCCAGCCTCTTTCAGGGGTTCACACAGTCAAAGCTATTTTAATAACAATATCAAGGTGCTATTTGTCTTTTGTGCTCCCATTCCCCCCCCCAGGGGACAGTGGAGTTTTTAAAGGCAACAGGATGCATGATACTGTAACTGAGTGCAGGAACAGATGTGCAAAATCCAGAGGTCTCCTTCGAAGCCAGACATTAAAGAGATTTGCAAAAATGTAAAACCAGGCCACTGTCCTCTGGAATTTTTTGTTTGTTTGGAGAGAATTTTCATAAAACGTATGGGACTTAGGTTACCCAGTCCTGGGCTTATGGTTATTTAAAAACTGATCTTATAATATCTATTATCCATATTAATTAATATAAATTGAACTATCATAACTCATCGATAACATTTATCATCAAGAAATTGCTACTTATTAATAGTTAAATGGTTATTGTTGGTTAAGCAATATTACTAGATAAATATTAAACATTTTCTCAGTTTTAACTTCTGGTATGGCCAATGTAGACAGATTCAACCCATGTACCTACACACTCTTTGGGGCGCTCAATCATTTTCAAGAGTGTCGTGAGCTCCTGTGACTGGAAGTTTCTCCAGAGTCTGGCTCCTGGTGTTTCATCCCGCATCCCCCCTGCTCCGCCTCCGTGCCAGCTTCCTCACCTGCCATCCTTGTCCCAGCATGCTAATATTTTTCTTACCACAGGGCCTTCGCACATGCCACTCTCTGCCTGCAGCCCTGCTCTGATCTCCCCAAGCAGGCTCGCTCAGCTTCCTTTTGATGTCACCTCCTCACGTAGGAGGAGGCCGTAGGCCATCCTATGAGAAGCAGGTGCCCCAATCACCACCATCTAATTATTTTCTACCGTCACTTCCCTGCCCCCCAAAATGTTTATTGCAACCCATCCTTATTTTGTTTATCTGGTGGTTTACTTATTCTGCCTCCTTCCATCAGAATGTGAGCTCCAGGAGGGCTGGGACCTTATCTGTTCCCTCTGTCCCCAGCACCGGCACGGTGTGCACAGAAAGCACTCAAGAAATACTTGTGGAGGGAAGCAATGAACTTGGGAACCTTTGAGCCCCAATCTCCAGAGTTATCAAAAAACAAACAAGGAGGGCAGAATCATGAACATTTGCATTTTTGAACTGGAAGCTCAGTAATTAACTGCATGTGCTTAAATAAAAATAGACCATATCTGGATAAAGACGCAAGAAACTCCTCATGGGGGCTGCCTCCAGCGAAGAGGCCCTGCGAGCTGGTGGGGGGTTGGGGGGAGGATCAGGGCTGGGAGGGAACATGTTTAACCGAGCTTAAATGCTTTACCATGAGATGGTCTTAAAGGTTCGATGGAAAACACTTGTTTGAAAGTTCTCTTAATGAATCATAGGTTTAGAATGCTAAAAATTTTGGCGGTCCCTGGCTGGTTCTGAATCTTTATGTCCCCCCACCTCCACCACTCTGCCTCCTCCAGCCACCCTGGGCTCCTTGTGCGAGCCTGTTCCTGCCTCAGGGCCTTTGCACTTACTGTTCCCTCCTCCTGGTAGGGTCTCCCCCAGACCTCCACTCTCCCTCCTTCAGGTCTCTGCTGGGAGACCCTCCCTGACCTCCTTAAAACAGTCCCTCGCCAATCTCCTTTCCTGCTTCATTTTCCTTCCTGATCCTTATCACATACAATACTGTATGATATTATAGATTCATTTGTTTAATATCCACTTCCCCAGTGAAAAGTAATTCTACAAGAAAAAAAACAGCATTAACTCGTTCGTTCCCTGCTGTATCTCCAGGGCCCCAAACAGTGCGGAAGCACGTTGTAGGTGCTCAGTAACTGTTTGTTGAATGAATGTCACTGAGCCGCCTCAGAGAAGCTCGGTAAGAAGATTCAGGGCACCTTGGCCTCTTTAGTATCAGACTCTCTCAAGATCTTGGCCTCAAATATCTCAAAAAAGTGAAATCGCCCCTTCTCGCCGTTACCACTTCAACCAAAGGACGGAGCCAGGTGACTCATCCACACCCTATATCGCACAGACAGGGAAACCGAGACACCGAGGGGGTAGTTACCCAGAGTCCAGAAAGGCCCTGTACTTTGGGGGGGGAGAGTGTGGGGAGGTAAATGGTGTGGACTGTTGTTTGATGGCCAGACCAAGTGTGGTGGCGGAATCACACGTGGGGCATGAGTGGGTGACACGGCGCAGGGGAGGGGCAGGGAGGCTCGGTCACAGTTGGACCCTGGGTGAGGGGCACTGGGGAGCCACAGATGGATCCGAGGGAGGGAGGGGAAGGAACGGTCGGTCGATAGGTGTGAGGGGTTGGTGGGGCAGAGGCGTGGTCAGGCCGGTGGGCGGGACCTGCGAGCGCGGGCCAATGGGGGCGCGGGGGCGGGGCCTAAAGCGGCTCCTCCGGGACCCAGGAGAGGGAAGGCGGGAGGGCGCTGATGGCTTTTCCAGGGAGGAAGCGGGGGAAGGTGCCAGGAAGAGATAAGGTGGGAGGGCGGGCTGGGCCGGGGCGCGGGTCCCGGACTCCGGGGTTTGTCCGGGTTTCCGGAGCCGCCTCCTGCCCGGCGGGGGCACCAGGTGTCCGGCCCGACCCCGCCCCTCTGTCCCACGGCCCTGGGCCCCAGCCCCCGCCGCTGTCTGCGTCCCCGAGGGGCCGGGGGTCCGTGGGGGACCAGGGCGAACCGGAGGGGGGGGGCGCTGAGAGAGACACGGAGGAAGACAGAGGGGGAGAGATAGAAAGACAGGCGGGGAGATAGAAGGAGAGAGGGACAGAGAATGAGGGAAGGGGAGGGGAAGAGCCCGAAGAGAGAACGAACGAGTAAGAGGGAGAGAGATGGACGCTGTGAAGGAGGTAGAAATGAGGAGAAACACACAGAGAGAGAGACAGAGACACAGAGACTGTCCAGAGCCCGGGTGGGGGAGGAGGGAAAGGTGGACTCCAAGGCTCTGAGCCTCCAGCGCCTCAGAGCGTCCCTGCTGGGCCGCTCCCTCCCAAGGAGGATTCCTGGGGTGGGGGTGGGGGCCCTGACTCACCCCCTCTTTGCTGCTCCTTAAACCAACACCTCAGGCTCCTCCACCCCCCATAACCTTCTAGGCCTCCCTGCCTGCCCAGCTTCCTGCCCCACCTCCACCCTGGCAGCCTCCCCTATGAATGTTCCATTTGGCCTCCAAAATCGCTCTCAAACCAGTGCTCCCCTCCCCCTCCCAAGGCCCTGTTGGGATCCAGGCTCCTCCTTGTTCCTCCGTCCCCAGCCTCCTCCATGGTCTCGGGCCCCAGTTTAACAGCCCTTGAAAGCACCCACCAAAAGGCAGCCTGAGTAGGACCCTGTCCCTCCTCTGCTCTGAACCCTTCCATGGCTCCCCAGTACCCTCAGGACAAAGCGCAGGTTCCAGGCCACAGCCCGGGGTGGTCTGACTCCCACCTCACCAGCCTCAGATTCAGTTATTTGCACTGTCTACACTGGGTTCAACACTGACATCTTCCCTCTCTTCCTTGAACGGGCCACGTTCTCATCTCCGGCCCATGCACTCGCTGGTCCCACCGTCGAGAATTCCTTCCCCTCGTCACCCTCCTTTTCCTCCCATTTGCAGCTCTGATGCCCTCTCCTCCAAGAAGTCTGCTGTTCCAATTCCCCCCGGGCTCCCCAGGCCCGGCCCTGACCATGCTGGGTCATCACTGTCTGGGGATGGGTCTGTCTCCTCCCCTGAACTGCCTTGGTCACTGCTGTGTCCTCAATACCACCCAACACAGGGCTGGGGACAGGGGAGACTGTGTCGAACGAGAGTCTTGGTTCAACGGCATTCGTTCCATAAATATTTACAGAGCACCAACTCTGTTCCAGGTTCTGGGGATACAGCAGCGAACAAATTCGGACATCTCTGATTCTGTGAAGCTTACATGTGAGTGGAGACAGGTAGTAAACCCAGAAACCCAATGAATGGATGATGTCCGGCCAGGCAGCAATGAATGCTATGAAGGAAACTACAACAAGGATAAAGCAAGACTCACGTGACGGGAGCGGGGAGGGAGTTATAGTCATAAGGAGGGAGGGCAGACAGGGAAGCCTTCCTGAGCATGTGGAGCAAAGAGGAGGTGAAGGAGGTGGGGAGCGAGCCAAGTGGGAGAGAGGCCGGGGGGGGGCGTTCCAGGAAGAGGGAACAGTAAGTGCAAAGGCCCTGAGGTAGGAGCGAGGAGGCCGGCGTGAAGTGCAATGGATGATGGGAAGGGAGTGGAAGAGCAGGAGGGCGAGGAAAAGCAGCATGGAGGTGGAGGGGGAATGGCATGGCTGTGGACCTCACCGGAGCCCCGGGTGGCTTGTGCGCAGAGGTGGGCCGTGATACAATGGGACTGGTGGTGGGACGTGGATGACAGGACACAGAGGAGGCAGGGAGATGCGGAACTAGAACGATAGATGCGCAGCAGCAGGGGGATAACCCCCCATGCCATTCGGCTTCCCCCACTCCACCTTGCGCCGGAACGACCCAGCCTGGAGGACTCTCTTAGACTGGTGGACTAGGTCATCAGAGAGCCCCTAAGCCAGTGAGACAGGACGGGAGGCAGGGCAAGGGCAGCCCCCGCCTCCGCGCTCCGGCCCTGCCCCCACTCCCCCCGCCCCCCCCCGCGCTGCTCACCCGCACCAGCCGGGCCCTCTTCACTAGGTCGTTGAGCTTGCGCAGGGCGGCGTGGCGGGGCAGGCCCTGGATGTCGCGGAAGAGGTCCTGCTCCTCCAGCTCGAAGAGGCGCCGGTTGTCGGGCACCAGGAGCGGCTGGGCCCAGAAGGAGCCGATGTAGACGCGCAGCACCTCGGGCGTGCCCACCACCTTGCCCAGCGCCCACATGAGCGCCCCGTAGACGCGCATCAGCTGCTGGGTCTCAACCATGTCCGCCTTGTTGAGCACCACGCGGATCTTGTCCTCATGGCCCCGCAGGGCGCCGATGGCCTCGGAGAACTCGTCGGAGATCTCCAGCTTGTGCGCGTCGAAGAGCAAGATGATGAGGTCCACGCGCTCCGCGAACCAGCGCAGCACGGCCGGGAAGTCGTAGCCTGGGGGGGACGCAGTGGAAGCG